TCATGGATGGCATTGTGTCTCAGGGCTCTTTTGATCACTGAAAACAATCTCGGACACCTGTGATAATTAGATTGGCAGGTGATCCCCATTTAAGGAAAAACTACTAAAGGAGGGTGTTCCACATTATTAAGCAGAGCACCATTTTCAAGCAATATGGGGAAGAAAAAGGATCTCACTGCTGCCGAAAAGAGTGAAATAGTTCAATGCCTTGGACGAGGTATGAAAACATTAGATATTTCACAAAAACTTAAGCGTGATCATCGCACTATTAAGAGATTTGTAGCTGATTCAGAGCACAGACGGGTTCGTGCAGATAAGGCACATTGAGGAAGATTTCTGCCAGATCCATGCATCGGATCAAGAGAGCAGCTGCTAAAATACCCATGGACATCAAGTTGTAAAGTCCTCCAGAGTCTTGCAACTGTGCATAAACCTTCTATTCGGCCACCACTAACCAATTCTCACAAGCAGAAATGGCTGCATTGGGCAGAAAAATACATGAAGACTAATTTTCAAACAGTCCAGTTCACTGATGAGTGCCGTGCAACCCTGGATGGTCCAGATGGATGGTTGGTGACTGGCCACCCTGTTCCAACAAGGCTGCAAGGTCAGCAAGGCAGTGGTGGAGTCATGTTTTGGGCCGGAATCATGGGCACAGAGCTGGTCGGCCCCTTTAGGGTCCCCGAAGGTGTAAAGATGACATCTGCAAAGTATGTGGAGTTTATGACTAACCACTTTCTTCCCTGGTACAGAAAGAAGAACTATGCTTTCCATAATAAAATCATCTTCATGCATGACAATGCACCATCTCATGCTGCAAAGAATACCTCTGCATCAATGGCTGCTATGGGGATAAAAGGAGAGAAAGTCATAGTGTGGCCTCCATCCTCCCCTGACCTGAATCCTATTGAGAACCTTTGGAGCATCCTCAAGCAAAAGATCTATGAGGGTGGGAGGCAGTTTACATCCAAACAGCAGCTCTGGGAGGCTATTCTGACATCTTACAAACAAATTCAAGCAGAAACTGTCCAAAAACTCACAACTTCAATGGATGCAAGACTTGTGAAGCTGCTATCAAACAATGTAACGTGACCTGTTCAAATGTTTAAAAAGTTAAAATGTTGTTAAAAGTTTGATTGAAATAGCTTTTGATTTTAGTAAAATTTGCTGCAAAAAAAAACAAATGACAATTTTCAGTTCTTTACAACCTATAAAGTGTTTTGAAACTTACTGTGCGTAATAATTTGGAACAGTGCATTGTAAGTTTTTTATGCTTAAAAAAAATACTGTTATCATTAGGAGGTTTGTTCAATAAAATGTGAATTGTACTCTTAATAGTTGATAACATGAGAATTATGCTGACTGTTATTTACATCAATTCTTTAGGTAAATGAGAAAAATATAATTTGCATAATAATTTGGAACAGGGTGTATATGCTCTGTTTTTGTTTTTTTTGTTTTTTGTATGCAGCCTGTGGGGTGAATGGCAAAAAAGAGAAGAAATCTCTGCCAGAAAAAGTGTGTGGTATGCCCATAATTAGAATATACCACCCTGCATCCACCCACTTCTAATGGTGGGCACACATTAGGTCACACTTTGCCACAAGCGCCAGTTCCAGGATTGTACAAATGTCTAAATAGCGGCACGCTTGAATAAAAATTATCCACGTATAATTGGTACCTATATGGAAAAAGAATGACACCAAGTCCCAAACTATCTTGCCACTACTCCCAATGTAGTCTGGGCATCCGGGGGGCTCCATGTGACTATCTTTTCCCTCATAAATCTGAAACTTATAAGTATAGCCTGTTGCCCTCTCACAGGTCTTCTACATCTGGACCCCATATCTGGCACGCTTGCTGGGGAGAAATTGTTTGAATGCAAGGCGTCCAGAAAAATTAATCAGGGACTCATCAACGCAGATTTTTTGCTGGGGAGTATAGACATCTGCAAATTTTTGGTTAAGGTGATTTACGAGGGGCTGAATTTTGTGGAGCCAGTCAAATTCAGGGTGACCTCGAGGACAACAGTGTATTGTCGTTGAAATGCATAAAACACATACATACTCTCATATCTATGCCTGGCCATGGCAGCAGAGATCACGGGCATATGATGAATCAGGTCTGCGGACCAATACAATTGCAATTCATTTGTTTTAGTAATGCCCACGTTGAAGGTTAGGCCCAAAAAAAAATGTAAATTCGAAAACCGTAATGAGTTTCCATGCGCCTGGTCTGGCAAGGTTTGAATTTGGGTTGGCGGCGATAAAATGTTGTGCATATAAATTTCTTTGATCCACAATCAACGCATACAGATATTCCGTGAAAAACAGCTCAAAAAATCAAGGTGGAGGAGTTAAATTTGCTATTTTCACCTGAATTCTGGGTTGGGCAGTAAATGGGGGAAGTACGGGTGCTGCAGAATTTGTGGGCTGTCAATCGGGATTTGCAAGCACATCCGAAAGGATACTAGGGGCTCTACAGGCCTATGTGCAAATTCTTGGTGGTTGCGAGACAATACTTGTGCTCGCCACCGCACCAGCTTTTACTGCACTTATGGGACTCACCACGTCGCCAAGTCATACTGCAGTGCTGGTATTATTATTATACAGGATTTATGGCGTTTGCTCAGTGCTACAATATAACGGGAGACAATACAGAATATAGTTCAATACAAGAGGGTTAGGAGGGTCTGATCCTGGGAGCTTACAATCTAAGAGATATGTGAAAGACCAGGATGTACTAGGCCACTAGTACTCGCCAGTTCACCAAAAGGTAGCGTGGTACTGGCACTCTGCTGCATATGAGAGTCATCAAAATTTACTGACAAGTGCTAAGAGATCAGGCCTGATTCTGCCAACACTGGTTTTGTGTGCAATGTATCAAGTGACAGTGACCTACTGATACTGCACTTGCTGGGGGAGAAGGAGGGGGATAAGCGTAGGGGCTAAACGCAGGTTTCGGGGCTGATCCCGCTAACGCCGCGTTTTTGGGGAACGCTGGTATAGTGCTGAACTGACAATGCAGCTGTGCTCTGTGTCACTGTTTGCCGGCAATCGCCAGGAACCAGTGGGTAATGACCGGCTGAGACCCGGTGATTGACACCCCCAGCCATGATCGGCGGCGCTGGTGAGGCGGTCGTGCGCCTCGCACCTGTTTTGCAGAATGACGTTTTAAACCGTTATTCTATTTCTTTCTTTCTTTTTTTTCTTTTCCCCCTCTTCCTTTCCCCCTCCCCTCTCCCGCCCCCTGTCTGTGCCCCTTTCACACTCTTGATTCTCTTAACCCCCCCACCTCTTTCCCTCTTGCCCTACCTACATCTTTCTCCCTGCCTCGCTCTCGAGAGTGTTTCCACTATTCTCTCCAAGGGTTTCTCATTTAGATGTTAAGGAATTATTGTGTCGTCCTTGAATATCGTCTCTTGAGGGATGCCCCCTGTTTAATTACGGAGGGACCCATATCTACCGAATACATAGACTACGCTGATTCCCATCTGAATGTATCTTTTCACCCTTATCACTGTTGATGTTCTCTTAATTCCTTCTTTTATACTATGCATTGTTTGATTTATTGCAAAACCAAATAAAGACAAATTTGCCTTTAACATGTGATTCTGCACAGCGGTGCCGCCCTGTACAGTATATACACTGTGGCTGCTAGGCAACCAGTTAAACTTCTCCACAACTCTTTCCCTGGCCTATCTGGTGTGTTCCTTGGCCTTCATGATGGTGTTTGTTCACTAATGTTCTCTAACAAACCTCTGAGGGCTTCACAGAACAGCTGTATTTATACTGAGCTTAAATTACACACAGGTGGGCTCTATTTACTAATTACGTGACTTCTGAAGGCATTTAATTCCACTAGATTTTAGTTAGGAGTATCAGAATAAAGGGTACTGAATAAAAATGCACACCACACTTTTCAGATAATTATTTGTAAAACATTTTGAAAACCATTTATCATTTTCCTTCCACTTCACAATTATGTGCCACTTTGTGTTGGTTTATCACATAAAGTCCCCATAAAATACATTTACGTTTTTGGCTGTAACATAACAAAATGTGGAAAATTTCAAGGGGTATGAATCATTTTTCAAGGCACTGTATCTGTTGTAGGTCAGGCTGAACACAGCTGAAAATAAAAAGTGTCGGGCACCAAGGTTTGTTTATGGCCAGGTTTAATATTATAACAGAATTTGATATCTCCCTCCCACGCCCGATTGCAGGACTTCTCTAGGAATTCCCCCATCCTCTGGAACTCCCTACCCCAATCCATCAGACTGTCACCTACCCTCCTCACCTTCAGGCGCACCCTGAAAACCCACCTCTTCAGGGAAGCCTACCCCAACCTCACCTAACACCTGACCTCACCTACCAACTAACCTCTCCCACTCCTCCCACCACTCCATCCCCCACTCCATCCCCCACAGTCATTTCCTCCTGTACCACTTTCCCCTCCCTCCTAGATTGTAAGCTCGAAAGAGCAGGGCCCTCAAACCCCTCGTGTATTGTATTGTTACTGTCTTGTCTCATGTTCTGTCCCCCTTGCTACTGTACAGCGCTGAGCATATTCTTTGGCGTTATATAAATACTGTATAATAATAATATCATTGCTGTACATGCCCCAAGGTTAAGCTCTGACCATCATTATTTTGCCTTTAATGTAGTTCTGTAATATTTATTTTGTATTTCATTTGTGGCTTTTATATGGCCAGTGCTCAAACAATTTTAATTGTAATTCTGTACATTTTGTCATTATTATTATTATTATTATATATACAGGATTTATATAGCGCCAACCGTTTGTGCAGCACTTTACAATATAAGGGAGACAATACAGCAACAATACATTTCAGTACAGAAGGAATAGGAGGGCTAGGTGGCTAATTATATGTACTGTGTTTTGGTCAGTCAAGGAGGGCTAGGTGGCTAATTATACGTACTGTGTTTTGGTCAGTCAAGAGAATTGCGGTTCTTAACTTCTCCTTCGTATAATTACAGATAATATTCTGGATGACCGTCCTGAAAGCAAACCATGCAGTGACAAACTACAATTTGAGTATAATGAGGAGGGATCCAAGCGTATCAAGAAGACTGATGGCAACAGTGTTAACAACAAAGGAAAGGTAGTTAATTGTCAGATTAAATAATTAACATAAATCAGTCATATGCATTTTAGTTAAAGCTTTCTAGTGAAAAAGTCTGTCCAGCCCTTTTAGACCAGTGATTTAAGTTTAGCTCATGGTTAAAAAAAAAAAAAAAAACACAAAAAAACATATGCAGTACATCTTGGCAATACTTGCACATTACCCATGTTTAGTCCCTTTAAAGTGGTAGTAAACTGCAAAAAATAAAAACAAAAAAATCTCACCTGCAAGTTAAGAGCATAATGTGCTAGTATGCATCACATACTAGTGCGTTCTGAAAGACTTACCTGAAAATGAATCCGACCAGCGGAGCGCTGTCACGGCTTCCCGGGGCTTTCATCTTCACAGGTCTTCGTTCCGGGTTCATGGGCTGTGGCCGTTAGACTAACTAAGTCATGGTTTCACATTCGGGCATGCTCGCAGGAGTATCGGCTCCGGCATGGTTTTCTCAGTGGATGGCACACCATCCATTGAGAGCGCAGTGCACATGCATCGGTGCTGCTGAAGTAAATATCTCTTAAATGGTGCAAGTTTACAAAATATTCACTGTACCTACAGGTAAGCCTAATTATAGGCTTACCTGTAGGTATAAAAAAAAAACTTTACTACGAATTTAAAGACCCTGAAAAAAAAGCCCAGGACTGCTGCCCCACTATCTAGCATGTTGAATGTGCACACTCAATGCTTTTTCCTGCCATTCAACATTCCCACTACTACTCCTTATCACAAATGACAAGTAGTTTCCCTATGGTTTGTCGTTACTGCTGCCTAATGGTTCATGAGAGATCAAGGTTTTATCTTGTATTAGAGTTATTTTGTCTCTACTTGAGGTGCCCCATGTCGGTTCCCAAATACAGAGGAGCAGTCTCACAGTATTGGGTGTTGCAGGCTTAAGATCCATTTACATTCTGGGGTGGCCTGCAGTGCTCCCTCTCAAGGGCCTGAAACAACAGTCTGAATGGTGTCCTCTTTTTGAGTCCTTACATTCCTCGGAGTCCCCCTTGACTCCTTCAAATGTAGCCCACTCATTAACTTTAAAACAGAATGTCTTCATTAGAGTCATGTAAGATTTCATTGCCAGATTGCAGTTGAGGAAGTGATTGCAAAGAATATAAGGTGTTGATACCCCAACGCCTATCCCTTCAGAATCCATAACTGACCTGCCTGCAGTTCTATCTGATAAAGAGTCTCACAAATCCATGCAGGATGATATTGTTTCGTAGGAGTTGCAAGTAGCTGCCATAATTTCCAGGCTGAGAGAGACCATTTCTGCTCTTACTGATGTAATGCATGCCAATCTAAAGATGGAGGAGCAGCCTGTGGCTTCCACCAGTGCGTCTAACAGTCTAGGATTCCTAAGAGGCCCCAAAAACTACTGAAACCTTTTCCATACACACACACACGGTTCCCAGACATCTGTTCCAGACTAGGAAACTTCCAAACATTTTGCGATTCAAAACCTTGGATGCTCTGGTGGCTTTAATCAGTTCGACCTGAAACGTTTTCATCATCTGCCCCACAGGATTGAGTTGGAAAGCATTTTTGTAATTCTCATAGCTCCGGGCTGGCTCAGGCAGATTTGGTACTTTTACTTGATTAGACTCATAGTAGATGCTCCATAGGCTTTTCCAAATCAACTGAATCTTCTGTTTCAAGGGCCTGTTTACAACCTGCTTCATAGTTGCTGGATTTAGAGCAAGACTGTTGAATTCCAAGTTTTGAGTGATGAGGGGGCATCTCTGAGTCAGTAATTCCTACTATGAACCCCACTAATTCCCCAGTAATTCCTACCGCGAAGCCATGAACTCCACTTCCTGTCAAGTGTGCCATTCCTTATGGAAGACATACTTTGCTTAGTGCTGGGAAATACATTTTTATCCCAGAAAATATAGAAGGAATCCTGGTTTTTTTTTTTTTTTTTTTTTTTTTTTTCTTCAGTCTGGCTTGGATCAACATTTAGCACAATCAAATGTCAGATATCAGACCTTGTGATCTTGTTTCAAAGACTGCTAGCCTCTCATTCTTTGTTCTGAAAAGTGGCAATTCTTAAGGGGGGGGGATACAAACAAGTAGAACTTCCCCATTTGTGTGAAGTTCTACCGTAAGACCTTTAGCTCCTCCTGTGTGCACATCTGTGTCTCAGTAGGATTTGAAATTAATTCTCTTGTTAACCCCCCCCCCCTTCCCGAACCTATCAGGGATACTCCTCTTTCCACTCTCACTGATAAGGTTTTTTTTCTTGTTGCCATCACCTCTGTGAGGTGTGTGTCTGAACTAGTGGCTTTGTCCTATAAATAAATTTTTCTGGTTTTAATGAGGAAGAGGTAGTATGAAACACTAGAGCCTCCTTCCTTATCAAAGTGGTTTTGGCTTATAATCTCAACCAGGACATTGGGCTTCCATCTCTTTTTCCAGCCCCAGTACATGAGGAGATTTACCTTAATTGCCTAGATATAGTTCAAGCTGTGCTTGTCTGCCTCACAGGTACAGCTTCTAATAAAAAGATTGACTGTCTCTTTGTTATCCTTGATGGTCCCAGCAAAGGGGAAATGTTTACTTGTTCCACCATTTCTCAGTGGCTCAAACAAATCATTATTCAAGCTTATAGTCTTAAAGTGGAATTAGCCCTTTCGTTGCAAGAGCCGTTTTTACATTTTTTGCACACGTTTAAATAAATCATTTTAGACGTGAAGATAATACAAAACCCCCAAACATTATATGTTTTCTGAAAGCAGATACCGTAAAGAATAACTTAGTGGTACAGTGGATACAAAAACTCCACACATCCCTGTGAAATGTTAGGTTTCTGTGATTTAAAAAAATGAGACAAAGATACAGTCAGGTCCATAAATATTGGGACATCGACACAATTCTAACATTTTTGGCTCTATACACCACCACAATGGATTTTAAATGAAACGCACAAGATGTGGTTTAACTGCAGACTGTCAGCTTTAATTTGAGGGTATTTACATCCAAATCAGGTGAATGGTGTAGGAATTACAACAGTTTGCATATGTGCCTCCCACTTGTTAAGGGACCAAAAGTAATGGGACAATTGGCTTCTCAGCTGTTCCATGGCCAGGTGTGTGTTATTTCCTTATTATCCCAATTACAATGAGCAGATAAAAGGTCCAGAGTTCATTTCAAGTGTGCTATTTGCATTTGGAATCTGTTGCTGTCAACTCTCAAGATGAGATCCAAAGAGCTGTCACTATCAGTGAAACAAGCCATCATTAGGCTGAAAAAAACAAAACAAACCCATCAGAGAGAGAGAGCAAAAACATTAGGCGTGGCCAAAACAACTGTTTGAAAACATTCTTAAAAAAGAACGCATCGGTGAGCTCAGCAACACCAAAAGACCCGGAAGACCACGGAAAACAACTGTGGTGGATGACCAAAGAATTCTTTCCCTGGTGAAGAAAACACCCTTAACAACAGTTGGCCAGATCAAGAACACTCTCCAGGAGGTAGGTGTATGTGTGTGTCAAAGTCAACAATCAAGAGAAGACTTCACCAGAGTGAATACAGAGGGTTCACCACAAGATGTAAACCATTGGTGAGCCTCAAAAACAGAAAGGCCAGATTAGAGTTTGCCAAACGACATCTAAAAAAGCCTTCACAGTTCTGGAACAACATCCTATGGACAGATGAGACCAAGATCAACTTGTACCAGAGTGATGGGAAGAGAAGAGTATGGAGAAGGAAAGGAACTGCTCATGATCCTAAGCATACCACTTCATCAGTGAAGCATGGTGGTGGTAGTGCCATGGCGTGGGCATGTATGGCTGCCAATGGAACTGGTTCTCTTTATTTATTGATGATGTGACTGCTGACAAAAGCAGCAGGATGAATTCTGAAGTGTTTTGGGCAATATTATCTGCTCATATTCAGCCAAATGCTTCAGAACTCATTGGTCATTTGTCCATCTTCACAGTGCAGTATGGACAATGACCCAAAGCATACTGCAAAAATGCAACCAAAGAGTTTTTTAAAAAGGAAAGAAGTGGAATGTTATGCAATGGCCAAGTCAATCACCTGACCTAAATCCGATTGAGCATGCATTTCACTTGCTGAAGACAAAAACTGAAGGGAAAATGCCCCAAGAACAAGCAGGAACTGAAGACAGTTGCAGTAGAGGCCTGGCAGAGCATCACCAGGGATGAAACCCAGCGTCTGGTGATGTCTATGCGTTCCAGACTTCAGGCTGTAATTGACTGCAAAGGATTTGCAACCAAGTATTAAAAAGTGAAAGTTTGATTTATGATTATTATTCTGTCCCATTACTTTTGGTCCCTTAACAAGTGGGAGGCACATATACAAACTGTTGTAATTCCTACACCGTTCACCTGATTTGGATGTAAATACCCTAAAATTACAGCTGACAGTCTGCAGTTAAAGCACATCTTGTTCATTTAATTTCAAATCCATTGTGGTGGTGTATAGAGCCAAAAATGTTAGAATTGTGTCGATGTCCCAATATTTATGGACCTGACTGTCAATCATTTCAGAACTTTTTCCACCTTTAAGGTGACTTACAAACTGTACAACTCAATTGAAAAACAAAAAAGTGGCTAAAATCTTTTGGGGGGAGAGTAAAACATAAAAAGCTGTGTTCAGAATTAAGCAATCACATTCAAAAATCATGTTAAATAGGAGTGAGTACACAACTGCCATCATCTAAAGTGCCTCTGATTAACCCCCAAAAACGCGAAAGTTCAGCTGTTCTAGTATGTCTTTCCTGACATTTTCTTAGTCGCATCCTACAGCAGAAGCCATGGTCCGCAGAGAGCTTCCAAAGCATCAAAGGTATCTCATTGTTAAAAGGTATCAGTCAGGAGAAGGGTACAAAAGAATTTCCAAGGCGTTAGACATACCATGGAACTCCGTGAAGGCAGTCATCAAGTGGAGAAAATATGGTGCAACAGTGATATTACCAAAAACTGGAAGTCCCTCCAAAATTGATGAGAGAAGACGAG